ACCACACCACACCGTACCGAACCGAACCACACCACACCACACCACACCACACCACACCGCACCACACCACACCACACCTCACCTCACCATACTGTACCGAACCGAACCACACCACACCGAACCAAACCGAACCGAACCGAACCACACCACACCACACCACACCACACCGAACCGTACTGTACCACACCACATTTTTTCTTTATATCATAATGATAGAACGGGTCTTAGTAATCCCTTATATTATGCCAAGAGGCTAATTAGCTAATGAGCTTCACTCACAAAATGTTATCTGTTAGTCGGTGGCACCGCGTCGAGATTGGTGGTCGTTATGGAATGTGTCCTTGAGAAAGACGATAACCTTTGCTTAGAACTCTGCTCGGACAGTGGTGACCAACAATGGCATATTGTCTGATTTGGTGTGGCATTGCGTATTTTACAATGTTGGTGAACTATGATGTATGTTTATTTTGAGTGTGTGTGTGTGTGTGTGTGTGTGTGTGTGTGTGTGTGTGTGTGTGTGTGTGTGTGTGTGTGTGTTCCAGTAAACTCATTTTCTCACCAAATCAATAAAATCAGACTAAAGTAAGAATTTTTTGAGGTTTTGTTTGTTTGTTTGTGTGTTTGTTTGTTTTTTACTTCAGCAAAGATGACCCCAGAATCTTACCGTCACAATCCCCTGAGGATTGGTGACAAATTTTAAAAAACCCAAAATAACGAAAATCTTCAAGGACTCGCAATGTGCTCGATGAAGACATAACTGGAAGTTGAACGTTGTACATGTAGAAGAGCTGGCCTGTTCATGTCGGCTGCTCTGAAGAATATCAGAATTTATCATTTCACCGTTCAAGAAAGTCTTTGGTCAACACATGAGCTAATAGGTGAGGGATATTGTGTTCTAGTGGGAGAAATTAATACTTAAAAAAAAAGAAATCAAGCTTAAAATTATGTACATTAGTCTGACTGCTCTGTTACTACTTTTCTGTATAATAGAATGTCCCTTTAAAATCACATCAAAGAACAACATTTGCGTAGCAGGCAAGCAAGGATCTCGTCTTCCACCGTTTCTTTTTTTTTTTTTTTTAATGGGCCAGCCAAAATGTTGCTGTACTTTTAAACAGTTTAGATTGCTTGGTAGGTGTACGGAGCGTAAGGACCTACGAATCTCAGTTCTTAACTTTCGTTAAAGATCCTATACAGGTTTTGTAGTAGGGTATAGATAGGATACATGTACAGTGGGTGTCGCATTCAACGAGGTTGCCGGGACCGGCTTGTTGTCCTAGTTGGATCCGACCTCTCGTTGAACGTGATTAAGGCTAAAGTAAAGAAAGGAGACACGTTACTATATTTATTACAGGATGTGCCAATACCAGTAATTAAAACAGTTGTTCCACCTGACGACAAAAATCTCAAACAGCATCAGTGTGCTCGTGTTTGAGCTGTGCTCTGACCGTCATTTCTGCCTTTTAAAATATTTTTCCCCCCAGAACACTTCTCGTGTGGAAACATACCCTCTCACATCTAGGCTTAGATAGACTACATAAAGTAAAGGCGGGAGCTTGGATTTTCTGATCAGGGGAAGAAAAGAAAATTTAAAAAAACAAACGAAGGTCTCGATCTAGACCTACCCATCCAGAGTTCATCCAGTTTCACACAGCCCACATCGCGTTCCCACCCACCCCCTCCCATCCCTCGCCCATCCTCTTCGCTTTGGGGCCAATAATAAAATTAGGAGGCACACTAGATCTAGCAATACAATGTGTTTGAAATCGGTGATGGGCGTTGTGCTCATTCTCTCCGGTGGAGAGAAAGGAGAAAAAAAATTCACTTTTGGGGCCGCTAAATGCTTTTATTTGGTTATCGCGACCTCGTTGAAAGCGACTTCGGTCTGTTTGCAACCTCGTTGGAGCCGACGTACATTTACAAAGAGATATAGAGGAAAAAATCGGGGATTAAGGATTGCCTCGTTTGAGCCGACTTTTCGTTGAATGTGACCTCGTTGAATGCGGCACCCACTGTATTTGTTTCATGTTATTGCAATTCCCTCGAAAGCGTCCCATCTACAGGCTTAACGGACAGCGCCGATGAACGTGTTTCTCCTTTTCTGCGAGACAATCGGCAATTTTTGCTTTTTGGAAACTTCTTTGACCACAAGGATTTTAGTTTAGTTTTAGTAGAGGTTTTACGGCGCTCGCAACAGCATAAGGTCATAATTTAAACTAGCCTTTTGATTTAGTTATTCTTTTAATAGTTGTTGGGTTTTTTTCGGGGAAATTATATTAATTAACTTCTTATATTCACCGGTGCAACTTTAAGATGAGAGTTAAATAAGCGAGAAGGAAAGTCTACATGCTGTACTTAACTGAAAATGTCATTTTGTATGTATTGTATCCCTTTGCGATCATGAATTGGTCCCGCCAGATATAATGGAAGCAGCCCGCCTCCTACAAAAACTAAATTGTAACGATTGAAGAGTAAACCTCGTACAAACAATCACAATGAGTAATTCCAATCATGAGTGCACTGTGACAGGAGCCGGTACAAGAAGCCGACAGAATAATGGGGTTGTACCAGTTACGCTCACAACTGAACTATAAACGTGATACACATAATATCGTTTCTTGAGCTCGTAATTAGGTCCGGCATCGTTCATTTATCACATCTGACATTTAGTTCCAGTTGTAGGCTAGGCTAATCACGACTCCCACCCTTACTCCGCGGGGTTGTAGTCGTATCGCCACCAGCCATTACACAGGGTGGCACGTCATAATGCTACTGCAGGCGAGGCCTCACACGCCACCCAGAATAATTAACGGTTACTTTTTAAAGGTACAATTACAGGTCAAAAGTTAACTGGTGCTGACATTTCGGAGCAGAGCTCCAGTTTTGTATAAAAGAGCGTCATGAGCAACAAACGGGATCATGTTTTCATCGATGCTACTGAACTAGAGCAGGAAAATGAAGCTCCTTCTCCCCCTTGCCGCTGTGTGCCTGGTGAGAAATTAATAGCTAAGATTAACGTTGTTTGATTAAAATCGAAAGCTTTATGTACTTCTTATGGAACAGTAAAGTCCTAAAATAGACGTTAAATCCACGAAATATCAGGTTTCACCTTCACTTTCATTTAAAGCAGAACTGACCTATAATTCGTTAGTAAGAATCTAAAAAAAATAATTTTCATTCATAAGATTTCTTCATTATTTCAAACATCTTTCATAAATGCACATCATCGTAAATTTAATTCATAATATGTATATTATATTGTTTTCATTTATTGTTGCTGTTCTTGTTGTAATCGTTGATGATGATGATGATGATGATGATGATGATGATGATGATGATGATGATGATGACGATGACGATGATGATGATGATGATGATGATGATGATGATGGTGATGGTGATGATGGTGATGATGATGATGAGGATGAGGATGATGAGGATGAGGATGAGGATGATTTATTACAACTATCTCAAATATTATGCCGAAACATTATTCGGGTGCCCACTTCCTTTTATAGCCTACTGTTCTGCAATGATGCTGGCATGTTACTGGTGTTGGTGCTGGTGCTGAGAATATTGGTGCTGATTGTGGTGCTGGTGCTGAGAATATTGGTGCTGAGAGTATTGGTGCTGATGGTGGTGCTGGTGCTGAGAATATTGGTGCTGAGAGTATTGGTGCTGATGGTGATGTTGGGGGTATAACTATCATTCTTACTACCTGTTTCAGGCACACTTTGTCCTGGCCGCTCCGACTACGAACGATGAATGCCGTAAGTCTGTCGTGTGTGGCGTTGTTTCCATTTTACTCGTATTTAAGTAATCGTAATTCGACTAATTATGTAGAAGTTTTCGTAAAATAACATCGTCTGTTTTGTCTTTCAAGACAAATCAATGAAGTACTCACTACCATATTATTGTTCATAAGGTAGTTAAGCCCTCTCCTTGTTTGTGTGTGTTTGTCTGGAGTCGGGTGTTTAGACATATTCGGTTTATTAGACAGGGATACCACGTTTCCGCTTTTTCCCGGTATTTCCGGTATTTTGATCTGATCCGGTATTCTGTTATTGAGAACAAGATAGAATCTATAGTTGAAAAAAAAAAAAAAACCACATCCAAGGTACAACTAATCTATTTTTCTTTCAATGTTTGTCATTTCTTTCTATGTACACCCATTGCTTATGTTTGTTTGCTATTTAACTCTATGTACACCCATTGCTTTTGTTGGGTTTTTTCATTTCTCTCTATGTACACCCTTTGGGTTACAAATTGATATAATAATTCATATGTTAGCGAGACCGTGGTGTGTGAATTTTCAGCTATTTTTTAAAAAAATTGAGTGGCATCTCTGATTATATTATGCGCTTCCAGTAAAAAGGGCAAAAGTTGTCAATATCTTCAAGTGATTGTGAACCTATTAGAAATCTGCCTTTAACCAATAGGAAAAGATACGACTATAAGGCAGACTGACGGACAGGCCGACTCAGACAATCTGAAAACTACATACACCTCAATTTCGTTCTCTTTTTTTAAATTTTCAATTCGTGTTTGTTTGTTTGTTTGAGTAAAGATTCAAAATGATTTATTGATTTGAAAGGCCTTTGGCCCATACATCCACATATTTTAACATATGGTTCGGCATTTACATACATTGGGGCAGCACATCGGATATTTAACATAAATTGGGCACGCACGCACACATACACGCGTTTGAGTAAAGAGAAACACATCGACACAACAATGGCCATTAAGTGCTTGGAAAAGGTAAGACAGACAGACAGAAACAACAGAGAGAAAATAAAGAAGTAGGACCTACCAGTTGCGCCCCCAACCATCCGCAAGGCTTCTCTCACACGTTTAATTCACCACATTACAGTTTTAAGCCTACTTAATTCTATTTCTTTTTTTTTTCTTTTTTTTTTTCTCTTTTCTTTTCTTTAAAATTGAAATTTACACCAGCGCCTCTTTTTTTTTTTTTTTTCTTATGTATTTTGCTTTTGTTTTTGCTCTACCAGCCCCTAAAAAAGACCCTTGCGTCAGCGAAATTATGGACCTATCCTTCGTCGTGGACAGCTCCCAAACGGTGACTGCTGAAGGATTCAAGCAAGCTCTCAATTTCCTAAGCTCTTTCCTCGGAAAGTTCGACATTTCGCCAAATAAGGTACATGTATTGTGGAACTTGACGTTATTTCACCAGTACACCTTCCGCAAATCTCTCTCTCTCTCTCTCTCTCTCTCTCTCTCTCTCTCTCTCTCTCTCTCTCTCTCCCTCTCTCTCTCTCTCTC